CTCCCTCCAATACAGAGGCAGCAATGTGGGGTGGCAGGGGTCTCCCCAGGAGTGGGGCTGGGAACACACTTGCAGCCAGCCCCCACCCCAGGGGACTATCGAATTGCCATTCAACTCCTAAAATGTCTAGTGGTTACCTGACTATTCAATTGCTCAATAGCTAACATCCCTAGTTTCCACGTCAGCGCCTTTACATTGGGGCTACAGCAACAGAAACCCCTCTAGCACTGGGCTAGAACTGACCTCACTTAACCTCTGAAATCGCACCCTGCGCCTAAGCTGAGGGGGGCGGCCTGTGTCCGAATGCACCATGTCTGGGTGTGAAAGGTTGCAGGTGTAGAGCCGAGCAATGTGGTAGTTTGGGAACAAAAAAAACCTTTGCCACCAACCTCTGAACTCTCTCCCTCCAGGTGTTTGATCCCATGCGGTTTTCCCCAGAGAACGCGGCCCAGAGGCATTCCCATGCGTTTGTGCCCTTCGCGGCTGGAGCACGGTGGGGGATGTTTCTTTCTCTCTCTTGGGGGTGTCGGTTGGAAACAAAGCCAGGCTTTGGGCCAGGCTGCTCCTAATGCCCACTGAGCACTAACAGGCTGGCGCTGCAGGGGTGTGGCTGGCACGTGAGGGAGGTGTGGGGGGGTTCCCTAGAGCAATGCACCGAACCAGAGTTTGGTTCTTAGTGACTGGCCCCTCTGGCCTCTCCTGTGTCTGGTTTACGATTCTCCTGTGTCTGCTTCACGATGCCCACAGAGCTGCCCTGGCTCCCATTTGGCAGGCCAAGGTCGTTTGGCAGAAGTACGGTGTGATGATGGTGAACGGCGCGCTCTGGGGGCTCTGAGTGAATCCCTCAGCTCTCAGGCCTCTCCTGGCTGGACCCTGCAATTCTCCCACTCACAGACCAGGCCCGGTGGGACCCAACAGGCCCAGCCGAGGTCAGACCCCTGCAGTTCATCCCTTCAGGGCTCTGTGGCCAGCCAGGCTGCTTACAGCCAAAGGCCTGGTTATTGCACAGCAGGGAGAAAGCACTTAGCAAGGGAAGATTTCAAACCTCCAAAGAGCCGACAGGCACGGCTATCCCACCCCTAGGCTGACCATCCCCTGATGGGAATCCAGGCAGGCCTCACTGTCTGCCACCCACACAGGTCTCTGTGTCTCGGCCTGACTCCTCCAAAAAATAACCCGTCCCTGTGTTCCCTGAAACTGGGTGGCTACCCAGGAAAGGTTCAAATGCTGTCGGCTGATTAGTGCTGCACATCCTCCTTGCCTTGGAGCACACAGCAAAATTCATTCCTTACATGGATGGAAAACAATAGAGGGAACGTTGCCCCCCACTCTCAGAAGAGTGTGCCATTTTCAAACACATCACGGTGCTTTTGATCTCTCGCATTCATGGGATGTTTGCTCCCCTAGCAGAGTGCTTGGTGGGGGAGGGGGAGGAGTGAGAAGGGGAAGTGGCTTACTGTGAAACTCTCTTTTGTCTTCCTACTTGTTTTCCCAACCACCCCCTATTAAACTTAACCCAAAATATCTGCACCATAAACGATGCATTAATTCCATGGGCACAGTCACCTTTAGGTATTACAGAACAGCTCAAAATCTGTCACTTGTGGGACTGAATTGTTGATCCCTTGGACGGGAGGTGTTTAATGCACACATGGCAATTAAGGACACTGAAAGCCAATGGGAATTGCCATTTGGGCACTGGGAAAATCTCCCCAGTGCTTAAAGAGGATCTCTTGGCCCTCTGCACTTAAGTGGGGGAATAACTTGTGGGACTGAATTCTTCATCGCTCGGAGTGGGAGGAGTTCCATGCACATGTGGCAGTCAAAGACTCTGAAAGCCAATGGGATTTAGGAGCCTAATTGCCATTTGGGCATTGGGAAAATCTCCCCAGTGGTTAAAGAGGATCCCTTGGCACACTGCAGCAGAATAGGGGCCATAACTCCTTGCAAGTTCAGTAGGAAATAATTTTTTCCCCCCCCTCTCCCAAAACTGCCTGGTAGCGTTGCTGGGCATTGGGAAAATCTCCCCAGTGGTTAAAGAGGATCCCTTGGCACACTGCAGCAGAATAGGGGCCATAACTCCTTGCAAGTTCAGTAGGAAATAATGTTTTTCACCCCCTCTCCCAAAACTGCCTGGTAGCGTTGCTGTGCACTATTAAACAGCTGCCATATTGTAACCCAGTAGTGGTAGCTCTACAGTGGTGGGCGCAGGGGCCCCCCA